TCGCTGCTCTTAGTTATAAGTGAGGGCACAAGGTTCCCCTCTTTCAGGTGTTCCCAATATTGGAAGAGTCTTCACTCTTAGATACAATTTCATGTGATAAGCACTTTTACAGTAATAGACTTTTTATGTGTTTAGTAGCAGCCAGTTCAGGGCATTCCAAAGTGCATTCTAAAACAATGAGGTTTTATACTGGCGGTTGCTCAAGAAACCAACCAACCAACCAACCAACCAACCACAAATGTGGTTTGTTTGTTTATACATTTGAGATGGTTGATTCCTGTGCTTTGGGTTCCTTAAGTGAAATATGCTTCAGTTGAAAAAAGCATACGGATAGAATCCCATTTATTGTCCTTCTTTAAGATTACCTCTGCCCAGTTAGTGTCACAGTTGTAATAAAATACACAAAATAATGACTTCTGAGCTGGGAGAGACCTAGCTACTCACCTAAGAGAGGTTCCAATCCAAGAGCCCCATTTTTTATTTAGGGTGTCACAGCTGATTAGAACTGGAACCAGAGTCTTGGGGCTTTTTCTCCTGGTTCAGAGCTCAAGACTCCAAGTGGGGACTTTAAGGTTTTTGACTTCTATACTTGGACAACCGAGCTAAAAACTCTTAGCCTTTACCCTTTGTTCCCTACGGTAAATCCGCCCAAACTCTCCATCCATTTCCATAAACCAGTCAGAGAAATGTCAGGTGGGTAGAAGAAGGAAAGGTGGGAAGGGAACCTGCAATGTCTTCCCACCAAGGTCAGGCTATTACTTCTGAATTGGTAACACGAAAAGACTCTTTGCTTCTCTTTTGTCTCTAGGCCTCACCCTACCTGTGTTCTCCACCGTTCTTCTCCTCTTGCTCCATCAAATCCTTTCTTTCTTTAAAAAATCTTCAAATTCTCCCTGTTCCTTAGTTCCTTCCCATTAGACCTGCAAATATGATCACTTTTTCCTTAATAAAAATGTTCTCTTGGCTCTGTCTCCCAATAAGGTAGCTATCTATTTCTTTCCCTTAAGGAATTTTTAAAAATTTGTTTTTAAAGGATATTATATTGAAACAGATAAAATAATTGAAGGATGATATGAGATAATATAGAATTATATGCCAAAATGTTTACATTGTAAGTTCAGTCTGTAGTGAAAGAGAGATATATTAACATATAGTCATTCAGGGATTGTATTTCAAGAAAAAATGTAACTCTGACACATTTATAGCTCTCCTAAGTATTGTAGATTTTGAAAGAGTCTGAAATTAGATATCTGTTTATTTGGGAATGAGGTTGAAGGAATTTTTACATTGGAAGGAGGTGTGATCTAGATGACTAGAATCTAAGCTTTTATGACCATATGGAGTCTTTTATAATTCCGTGATGTGGAAGTGTATGCTTACACTTTTTTTCATAGTCAAATAAAACATATCATATACTTTCCAAAAAGGGCCAATAAAAATCATATAATTTTATGTCAGTTATCTCTGTCTCCAACAAAAATTTAATAGAGTTTTCTTTCCTTATTGATGGAAAATATTTTTACATATAATATTGAGATGAATATATTGACTATCAGTAATATCTTTGGAAATAATATATTCAGTTCTGTCTTTTCACTATAGAATGTGTGCTGATACATCAGGCTGTCATATATATAATATCATGATAGCTCCTTTACCCACCCCACCCCCATGCCAGAAAATTCAACAACCACACCACAAAACCACAAGTAACCCTTGTTGAAAAAAGAGCCCTTTAGGTATTTTTGTGTGTGTGTGTGTTGGTGGTTTATTTGAAGAAAGAAAAAGAAATTACTCGTTAGGGTCTGGATGGTTTATAGAGCTCTCTCTTTGGCATGAAATTCAAATTTATGTGCATGTGTGTATTTACGGGAAGAACGGGCTGTGTGCCAAGAGCGGCCAGCATTCCCAGCTTCAGACGCCTTAGGCTGCAGAGGGAACAGGGCGAGGAAGGGGGAAATGTCCAGTAAAGCCAGGCTTGTCACACGGCACACATTCCAGCGACTGCAGCCTCTTTTACCAACTCACAGCTTTTTGCTTAGTTTTGTCCTTCTCTGTCCTTCTCTTGGGACTTTCAGTTGTGATCTGAGAGTTAATTAAACAGCTTGGAATTGAAAAATGCAAAAACGGAAAAGAGAAAAGCCCGATAACAGGGAAAGGCAGAATTATCTTGAAAATCTTGGTGCTGGAGGAAATATATCCTTATACCAGTACATCTCTCATAAATATGGTGCTGTCTCTTCCTTTCGGGCTTAGGTTGCCCTGGGGACATGCCTGTGATGTAATAGTCTAACATGAGAAGGAGAGAGAAAGAGTAGAAATATTCAGCCCTTTGGTCTCTGGTTAGTATTTTCATTTGTAGCATCTTCTGGCATGGTGTTTTGCTATCAAATATGGGTTGCTTGACTTGCCCGACACACCTTTCTCCACTAAGTTTTCTCAAAGTTGTGGTTTCTGGGCTCATGACACGTTTAGATTCTTCAGGCATCTGCCTCAGAAGTATGATCAGATAAGTACCAACCAAGTGAGATGCCCTTTTCCCAGAGAAGAGCCAGATTCCTTAAGGCAATAGGGCCGGGATTCTAGCCAGCAGGAAGGAGAAGATGGTTTTCTAGAAAGGTCACCGGACTGGGAATTGAGAAACTTACATTCTATTGCCATCAAAACTAACTTGTAAATTTATGACCTCAGCTAAGATAGTTATTTTGTCTGTAATGCAGTCTCACTCTCTGAAAGGTTGCATGTAAAGTCCCTTTGAAAACCAACTGAAAGAATCTTAGAGAGCATGTGACTGATTTTGAGTTGGAGGCGGTTGGCATGGTATATGTTCCCCTCAAAGCTTTGAAGAAGAATCTGAGAATCCTGGAGCTGGAACGTCAAGGAGTCTTCTATTTATCCAGCCTCTGGGATAAACCAAAATATCCTGATTTTCCTTATTATGATAATTACATCATCTGAATAACAGACCTGGATGTTTTTCACAGCAATATTACGTTTAGGACAATGAGGAAGTTGAGTCAGAACTTGCTCTATCTCTCCTCACTTGGAGCAAAGCTGCATGCTGAAATGTTATTTGTACGGGCTAGCCTGGTAGTCAAAATGAGGGGGGGAGGCTGACAGTGGGGTCACAGGGAGTGATGGGGACCATGGGGATCATGGAGGCTGTGGGGACTGGGAGCGCATACCCTGCATGCTTGGGGTGGCCACTCTTAGTTTTTAAAACACCAAGAAAAAACATGCCTCTCAGGGGCAAAGGGCTGTGGTTGGCAGTGAACAGTGTCTTATTGAAAACAACAATTTTGTATTCTTAGCAACTGTACAATAGGGAATTCACCAATTTAAATAATAAAATATAGTCATAGAAGACACACACAGCTGTTTTTTTCCTGGGGAACATTCTGTGTGCAGTGCTCCTCCTAATAGGCCTTCCTCTTTGTGTACACTTTAGTCTTCTTTCATTCTCCTTAAATATGTTTCTTTCTTCAGAATTATTAATTCTTGTAAGTTTTCTGTCGTATGTCCTAATATTTTTTTAAAAGATCCTTTAATGATGAAGAGTTAGCCTCCCACCCCCCAGCAGAAGCACTTGTTTTGAATATACCTTAACTGTTTTCCAGTGTTTAATTCCACTCCTCACAAAGAACACAAAGGTCTAATCCGAATCATCACCTGAAGCCTTCTTTCTTACCGTTCGTTGTTTGTAGGAGGAACAGTTGATTAGTGTTCTCCTGGTATTACCTTTCATATCCATCAGTTGAAAATAGCTGTTTTTGCACTACTCGTTTTGGCACTACGAGTCTAGAAATTATATCATGGGTTTTGTTTTCCAGTTCTCTGATAATTACAGTGTAATTACCTTTCTCTGATCTCTCTCCAATCTGTACACTAAAAAAATAATATTTTGAATGATACCCAGTCCTTTTATGGGCAGTTCAAACCGGTGAGATAACACCACTGTGTTAGTTCTTTGTCAGAGAGTAAGCGCCACACAACTGGATCAGACCCACTGTTCGCTGTGTGACCTCAGTATCTATTTCCTCCCTACGGGGAGTCAGTTGCAGTCAGACTTTCTTCATATTTTATCCACACAGTTCACTTCTCATTTGTAAGTGTGCCCTATCTTGTTTTTGATGGATCATTTCTCTCTGATTTGTCAAGGTTACTTGGAATTCTATTATTTTTCAGAAAATCTAGAAACCTTCACTTAGTTTGTGGCCACAAATGACCGAAAATGCTTTCAGTTGCATTACTTAAAAACAAACAAACTATATCCTAAAAGGCCTGTGGTTGTGATGCCATAACGGCAGAACCATCACCAGGAGGTGCATGGAGCACCTCTCATGGGCCAGAACTCCTGGCTTGTGCGGTGAGGTGGGGTTCACACAGGGCTGGTGGGGCTGGCACAGCAGAGGAGGGGCCTGCAGCTCATGCAGGGCAGGTCTGGGGGCCGGGCTGGCAGGGCTGGTGCAACGGAGGTGGAGCCCGTGGCTCCCACAGGGCAAGTCTGGGGTCCCGCTGGCGCGGTGGGGCTGGGTCTCACGCAATTTCGCACACTGGAACTCTAGTCAATAATATTAGACCCAGGAGTCTGGGTGCTGTTTCATAACTACCCAAGTTTCATTAAGCCACTTATTTCTGTCACTATTAGCTAATGGTTTCCCTGCTTCTGGGTGTTTTTAAACTCCACAGACATTGGCATCATAGTGTCTTGCTTGATGATAGCAACTAGATTTGAGTGATTTAGAATTGTAATCGAGGGGGTTGGTTGGCAGTAGTGGAGAGAATAAACCTAATAATTGCTTAATTTATGCATGTAGCTTTAGGAGAATCATTATATTTTGAGTAGCAAGGTGAGAGAAAAAAAGGGAAGCCTTCAGATTGAGTAGAAATGTCTATTTCGTAGATGTTTTGTTCTGTGTTGGGCTTTGATTTAAATATAGTAGTCAGTGTCCTATTCAATATACGAACATAATGAGATGCATTTTTTGTTGTCATTACAGGTTTTGGAAGGTGACAATGAAATGTGAAGAAGTTACATTTCTAATGTGATTCTTGAAAGTTAGTGACTGCTTGCGAAATTTTGATGAAAATTAAATATGACTTAGAAGCATTGCTTTATGAAGGTTTATGATGTCATCGGTTGCGACTGAACACAAACTCCAGCAGGCTGTGAGCCTGCAGGGAGTTGACCCAGAAACATGCATGATTGTATTTAAAAACCACTGGGCGCAGGTAAAGTATGAGTTCCACCTTCTCTGCTGGTCTAGAGGCCTCCTTCACCCTGACCCAGGGTTTCCTACCTGTGACAGGGTTTCCTTCCAGAAACAGGGAGGAAAGCCCCTTCAGAAAGGCGGGAAAGCAGCTTTCTCTTCTAGCTTTCCTAGACTAGGTATCGGGTTAAAAACCATGGTTTTCAACACACAACCAATTAGGGCACGTGCATGTTCCCCAGCAGTTGGCCTTCAAGTGAATCTGACCTCACTTTCAGTATACTTGACCATGTCTACATCCTGTCTCTTCCCCTCCTCCCTGCTGATTTCCACCCAGACCTTAGACTCTGACATGACAAAGCACACATTTATTAGATGTTTACCAAGTGTTTTGCTGATTACTTCAAATGCCTTATATCATGTAATCTTTTCCACAAACCCATAAGGCAGTTAGCATTAGCTTCCTCATTGAGGGAATGGAAAATTGTAGAGGTTGAGTAACTTGCTTGAGGTTATATAACTAGTGGGTTTTCAAGCAAGTACTTAGATTTTGGTCCCTTGACCTCTGTATTCTACCCTTTTTGGGCTGGTGGTCCGGTGTAATTTAAGAGAAGACAGTGCCAGGTGTTATCTGAATTCATTACAAAGTCAATTATAAAAGTTTTTTTTATTATTATTATTCATTTTGACTTCTCTGTGACTCTTCTCTGATCTGTTTTCATGGATAATTAAGGGTTGAATGTTCCAGCTCACCCTTTTCTCAGGGAGTTTACAAGTAGTAAAATAAATAAAATTGGCATTCTTTACTACTTGTCCAACATTACACTCCCAGGTGAGCTGGTAAGTGGCTATTTATGTGACAGTTTTTTAATGACTACCCAGTTCCTTCCTGTGTCCGGAAACAGCACATGGGTTAAAGCACTGAGCCTGTAAATCACAGCAATTATGGGGGATACAGTTTAGATCAAAAACAAAATTAATTCTGCTTCTGGGTCATTTGCACTTTGTAGCTTCTTGTCACTATCCAGTCCAAAGCTTCCAAAATTTCTTATGCATTTCTCATTCTCTGACTTTTCACCATTTGAATCTTAATGGGTTTTCTCTGGATGTTAAGGGCACAGCTGCTTTAGCAGAGGGAAGAAAATAATTCAGGAGTTTTCCAGGTAATAGAATAATACCTTTGGCTTTGTACTTTTGTAAGATTCTTAAAGTGCTAGCTTCAAAGTGGGGTGGTGAACCCAAACGGATGTGCCCAATAGGCTATTGCGTGTGGGAAGAATATTTTAGAAGGCATATTCCTATCTTTATCTTTTAAAATTTCCTATTTTGTGTTTATAATGTACATAATATATTCATAAATTAGTATGTATATGTTTATTAATTTAATTATTTGTCCTTGTATTTTTTTTAACTTGTAAGATTGCACAGTCAGATGCTCTCTCTTGAGAACATTTTCAACCTCAGTAATTTCATTTGGCAGAGGAAGCCTTATCATTCTAATGTGCAGTCTTTGCCCTGGGCCCCATTTTGCTTATTTGTTTGTGTATAATACCTTTGCTTGTAATCACTCCTGCTGGGGTATCTGTGATGTGATCCATTTAGCATTCTGTACCCCTCTTCAAAGACATTATATATCATCAACCTCTTGATTTTATGTAGATGGATCATTTGCCCTTTCAGATAGTGTCCTGGGCAAGTTTTCTCCAAAGCTGTGGGAGTGCTAGAGAATGTCTTAATTCAGGAAGGTGTGAAAATGCTTTTCCATTGGTGAAGGAGGAAATCCTGGTTCCAGAATCGTATTATTCATGTCATGTCCGATATGAATGACTCTAGCATTGGCAGACATTTCTGGTTACCTGAAGCATAGCCCCCTCCGTTTAGGGCAGAAAAACACCGAGCTGAGGGTAAGTAAGGATAACTTTGTCAGAGAGAATGGTGTTTAGTTAGTAAACACGCCTTTTGTAAGTGGGGACACTCTTGGTCTTGTTGTTAACTTTGGTCAAGTTTCTTACCTCTTTAGTCTTGACTTTTCCTTTGTAACCAATCTGGAAAACATCCTCAGCTTCTGTGTACTTTCAAAGGAGGGCTTTCCTGTTACATTTATCAATAAAAATGCTGGTTGCAGAAATTCACGTGGATGTCAACGTGACTATTGCTGGCTGGGGATTTGCTGAGTCCACACTTCAGTGTACTACTGCAAGCTC